ATTTTTTAATTAGTATCGTTGTACAGTGAACTGACTGTAGAAATGTTGTAATTAGTTTTGTTAGAAAATAGCTCCTCAAGGCGACTGGGAGTAAAACGCGCTACAACCGGTGTAAAGGCTTCTATGAATCTTACACTCTCGTGATACTGCTGTAAAGTGTAAAGTGAAAGAAAAATGTCCTTTCTTTACACGGCACGTTTTCGCCATGTAAATCCAGTATCATTTTACTTGAAACATTAAATTTACGCTTAACGTCGTTTTCTTCGGTTGATGCTGGAATGCAGGGTTCTTGTAGTCTTGTTCAAGCAGTGCGCTTCCAACGACTCCGGCTGACCGATTTCAATCAAGGGTCGTTATTTGTTTAAGACGAATTACGGTTCGGATAGCAGCAGCCAACGCTGTGGAAAGAACGAGGAGATCATTCTAAAAACAAGTGAGGAAACGTCGGGTCGAAGAGAAGCTTTTGACCATTGGTGTTTACGAATCATGTCGCGTACACGATTTATCGACCAGGCATCCCTCGCCACAATCTTAAGTCTGTACTTCATGAAAAAAGGCGACTGCGCTGGTCGGAACAAGTGATGAGACGTCTATCCAACGATATTACATTTATCACACAGAACCTCACCCCGGTACATGGACGGCACCGAGAAAGAGGCGGAAAAGTTTAGACCTTATGGGAGAGTGTCAGAGTCGATGTTGAAGTCTTCCATGAGCCGGAAGTGTAGGGCAACAAACTCTGGATGATGGACTGGTCGAACTTGATAACAGACATTGCCAGCTTTCGAGAGATGAACAACAGCGATTCAGGACATCGTTGCAGTCGGTTAAACCAGTGGGTGTGTCACTCGTAACAACAACAGCATCCATTTGATGTGTTGTTCAGAGTCATTTACCTCACTGGAAAAAAACCGAAGTCGCGGACCAGTCGAAGGACGCAGCTCCTGTGTCCTCGAATTTGCAGTGCTTGGGTGCAAGAGCACTTTTTTCATGAAATCAACAAACCCAACAGTGGCGACCTCTTCCATGTCTTAAGATTGCAAGCCGCTGATTCACTAATTTATTCTTAGCCCTCAGTTCGAGAGGAAATGAGGACATTAGTAATCAGGCAATTGACTATGTTACTTGATGAACATTTTCGCTCCAGCTGTCGGCTTTCTGTCGCTTCGCTTCGTTTGGAATACGCTACTGAGACCAACCATGCTGCACCTGCAGCCATGCTGAACATAATTTTCCAACGGATCGATATGGCTGCCATCGCCATCGAGTGTCGTGCTTATTAGCGAACATACTTTCTTCAAGTGCTATATCCTTCCTCCATCGGCCGTGTTCGCATTGTACGCTTCTTCTGCCGTCTCGAGAGAGCCATATGGCATATGGAATCTTCTTTGCATACATTCGCCTTTCTTCCGTTTCGCCCCACGTAACGAAATTTTCGCCATTAAATGACAACGTCCCATCGGCATCGATTTCGAACTGATGCTTGGATTGCATCGCTCTGCTCTTTGGACTAAGTTCATCTCGCGTACTAGTTCATGCCAAAGATGAAGGTCACCTGTATGCCGGCAGAACACCGTCCAGACTGTTGTACGTTTCATTCATCTACCGGGTAGCGACGTATATCAATAACTTCGAACAGAAAAATTCCTGGTTGTTTTCTGCACCGTACAGAAGACTGAAACAGTTCTGATTTAAAGGCCTTGTTTTTATTCCGTGGGGTATGTGATATGCCAGCGTATCGTAAATTAGACCCTATGCAACAACGAGCTGTTCAATGCCAGGGTATCATGCTCATTACATGACGATATATAGTGCGATGCAGATGCAAAATCTGCTGACTTAACATACCGGACAAAGTCATGGACAGAAGTTAAAAACGTACAATGAAGTTTCAATGTAGCAGAATGGCCTCACGCTCGGATATATGCAACGCTCAGCATGAACACCGATAAAGGAGCTTTCGTGTGCTGCCATAATTAATAATTTATGTTATGGAAATGTTCGGTGAGACAAACTTTCTCCACCAAACCAAGGACGTCTAACTGGGTGTAATTCTACCTTTTCAACAGCGTGACTGCTTGCCACCACTGTTTTAAAAAATGACAAATTCTACTTGGAAAGCAGATCAGAACCGTTTTACGAACGCGAGGATTTGACTCTGTTCTCTTTTACAGAGCTGTCGAACTTTGAGCATGAGCAACCGCTATTCAGAGACCACCAATGAAGGCTAGGACGAGTCGATAGTCGGATTACATGGCCAGGGATGGAGGCAGAACACGGAAAACATGGAATATTGGAGGAGTGCCAGCTTGAGTTCATGAAGCACCCAGGGTGAGAAAAGATATCAGACGATATCAGATCAGCATTGAAACAACGGCAGAGTATATTTTAGACTTTCCACACTTATCATCCACAAAAAAACCTCCATAAATTCACCTTAAACACTATCGTCGCGAAAACTAGAAATGACGAATAGAAGCGATCACAGACAGTGTGACGTATGATACGCTGTATTTTCCTTCGCTGTGCAGATCAGTTATGAACCCTAAAACTGACGGGGTAATTGTTTCTGGGGTTGAAAAACCTCAGATCGTTTATGACAAAGTAATTCTGACGACAGAATTGGATGCATCTTTCATATTAATCCTACGGACATATAGAGAAATATTTTCACCACAGTATTCCCCCTTTGAACGGAAAATAACCAGTCGTTGTCGAAACGAGGGGAGGATCAGAAAATTGCTTATGAAGTAATCTTAGAACAAACGGAAAAATGCCTTTCGCGCCCAGAAGAAGGTGACGTACAAAACCCATGGTTTAAGTAATGTCGATAAGCCTTGTACATTAACAACGGAATCGAAACTGTTTGCTTGATTATGCTGAGAACTGTCGTAGTTTTCAGAAGCTCGCTCGACAGATAAAAGTAAACAAAATAACACGTTAACAGATACAGTCAATGTACACGCTAATAAGCAAAACTATTCGACAGGGTGGTTACAGTAAGGAAAAAGCGACAGTAGATTTGCTTCAACCACTGAAGAGCCAAAAAACAAGCAAGCGTTGAATGGCACCACCGACTTTCGGTATGCCTCACTTCGAGCGTGGATAGGAACGCAGTCCCATCGAGTGACTGGCCTTCTTCACTGGCCGCGTACTAAGCATTTTATAAAGGAGGAGCAGGGTCTGAGAGAGTTATCACTCGAAGCGTTTTCGTTGCCATACGGCCTGCTTGACTGTTTTTATCACTTCACTATTTCTTCCATATTATCGATGCCACCGGGTCGGGAAATTCGCTTGATGCAGCGACGCAGTAGGATGTTATCATTCCTTGGATCGAAGCTGCCCCGCATGTGCCGTTGCTGTTGCGAGACCTCGCAACTCGAACTTAATCAGGAATAATGACTTCTGTCTTCAGTTAATAATCCGTTTGCACACTGATACTAGTGGATAAGGATTGTTCGACTTTGTTTTCTAAAACTGACCATCAGGTTTATAAGCAGCCATTTAGAAAACCATATGCAGATGATGCAAAAAAACTTAATTTTGTTCTTCTCTGCTGATTTTTAACTTCTCATAGCCGTCACTAGTAAGGAAGGGTGAGCGGAAGGGGGCAATTGCCATTTCGTCAAAAATATTTGCACTTAACGACCATACATTCATTTTCAAGAATATTGATCTTAACAGTTTTGCATTAGATCCTCTCCGACGTTAATACGTAGGTAACAACAGACTCAGCAACGCTTGTATAAAGTTTCTACAGTCGCACATCCACTAGTCTCGGTACCACAATGCGCATATGTTACCATAAAGGGCGATAATTCGTCCATACGGGTATAAACCAAAAATGATCCACAACTCAGTCCTGCCGGTATTGATAGAAACTGATTTGAAGCTTTGTCAAAGCCGTTAATATCCCAATTTTACTGGAATATTACTAAGCTTATTTCTATTGACAAACCTCGGCATTACCTCTAGCATGTTTGAGTTTACACCATAGCTTTGAGGTAAGCTGAGGCACAGACAGTAATGCGGTTAAAACCACATTACCAGAATGGAAGCAAATTAGTTTTAAGTCCATACCGGCACGGACGGATTACCACTTCGGACGGTAGCGTATACAAAATGAAATCAGTCAGAGACAAATTCAATCATTCTGCCTGCTGCAAATCGTCAGACTCGAATGCGGCAGGCATTAATTAAAGTGTTCAACGTACATGGGCTCATTTGGTGACGATGCTCAGTTTTCACCGCAGCAGCGTCATCGACCCCCGCAGCAGCGTCGCATTTTTTAATTCATCCGTATTAAAACTGAAATACAAAGTTCTCTTAGAGACTTATAAACTTTCCGCATTTAACTTTTTTAGAGTGACAAGACTGACCTTTGTCATCACTAAAGCTTACCAGTCTACTTTAGCAGGAAATCTGGCAGCGAATGTGAAGCATTACTTGAGTACAGCATGGAGGATGGCATGAGTCTCATAATCTGAGATAGGTTGAAGGCAGAGGCAGAAAAGACTCCTTATAACTCATAACTGTGCTTTGTACTAGACGCTAGGTCACAAACCTGATGCCCATGACGATTTTGTAGTGGTCATTAGATATCGTCGCTTTCGACCAAAAGGCAGGTTGTTGAACCACGCTATGAGTGCATGTCTAGGTGCAAGAGATAATGTGGTGTTATGCGGCTGAAGGAATTTCATTAACGATATGCAATATCTGATTCTGGTTCCGCTGTTC